ATGTCTATTGGAAGCTTTGCTGTTTGCCAAGGACTTCGTATGTTTAAAGCTTGAATATATTAAAGTCATCCTACATTGCTCTAAATCGGTATTATTTCATGATGATGAAGCAGGGATCAAGAAATCCAAAGCTGGTAATTTTGATGTTTCCTAAAGACGATCAGAAGTATCAAAACTGATGGGAATCTACATTTTAAGCAAAATAAATATTATCGACATCAGCAACCACGGAATATACCGTGATGATGGACTGCAGGTGCTACCGGATAATAAAAAAAAATGATTCCATCAGGAACAAAACAACACAAGATGTTTAAGAAGGTGGATTTCGACATTACTGAAGAAATCAACAGGAGAAATAGTCCAGATTTTAGATATTGAGCTAAACCTGTTGACTAAAACTATTTCACCATTTTTGAAGCCTAATACGGATTTCAGATGCGTAAACACGGTATCCAACCACCGTCAAGTCTGATCAGACATATTCCGTTAAACGTGCAATGCAATGTAGACTATGAAAAATTCTTCAAATGAAGAAATATTGAATGAAAAAAAAAATTATAAAGTACGCATCAAATTTCAATCCATAAATGTATCAGCGTATATATATATATATATATATATATATATATATATATATATATATATATATATATATATATATATATCATAGAAATTATTAGGAGGATTTGAGATAATCATAATTAAGTAATTCACCGAGTCTATAAGAATCGTGAACTGAATGCAGAAAGAACAAGACACCCGTTTCTTCCTATATTTGGAACTCATCAGTGATACGCATTCACTACCAAGAATCGAATCGAAGCCGGACCATTACGATACGACGCAAGCGTTATACCAACTGTACCTATATATATATATATATATATATATATATATATATATATATATATATATATATAGAGAGAGAGAGAGAGGAGAGAAGAGGGGGAAGCAAATCTGAAAGGGATGCACCACGGAATGGTAAAATGTATTGTGTCTAAAAAATATCTAACTACATCTGCAAAACTGACAACGAATACCGTTCTTAATGACGTTTATAAAACAGGATATGATAGCAGGTCTGCAATCGCTATCCGCCATCATCATTGATAGGAAGGAAAAAATTGTGTCTCGACTATGAGGACCAAAAGTAAAGCAGATTATCCTGCACAATCACAAGATCTCAAAATAATCGAACATTTATGGTTTCTTTTAATAAAGGTGAGGAGTCGCTTCACTCTACATTAAGACCGTACGAGTTAATTCGTTCAAGTACCGAAGATGTGATTGATGTCTAAAATGGGCCAGCTCCATATTAAATAATAAAATTTACCTTTTAGAAGGTGTTGCCATTATTTTGTCCAACCCCAATATATTCAGTGTGCACGCATGCATATTTGATCAGTATATACATGCATATATATATATATATATATATATATATATATATATATATGTGTGTGTGTGTGTGTGTGTGTGTGTGTGTGTGTGTGTGTGTGTGTGTGTGATAATGACAATGATAATGTGCATATGAAATATCGATAACACATACGTACTGTTGATTTTGCGTGTTTATTTAAGTGTCTTCATTTAAATCAATCAGTACATTCAGTTACTGAGCAGTAATCAAGAATCAGCCATTATTCTTCCATCCGCTGTGCCTTTTACAAAATCACGCTCAAAATCTACATGACAAGTGCAATATAATATTTCTAGTGTCCTTGTCTGTCAATTACACTATGTAATAACTGTATAAAGGTCTGTGGTGATTGGCTTCGTTCGAAAGCAGTTGCTATTTTAATTGAACTCAAGAAGATCTGCAGTTCCATGCTGCCTATTTCGGCGAACGCAAATGACATTTCATCAAGTATGGTTTTGCTAAAATTCTTTCTCCACGTGCTCGTCGTTTATTTTAATGTAATTAAATTAAATTGTCAGTCGTTATCTATCCTCCTTATCCTTATATTCAACACATACTGCCACCTTCTCTTTCATTCATCATTACTGTTTAAGCAGTAAATCTCAACCTTGAGTGGTTCTGGATTCTTGTACTGGGTGCATTCTATTATAAGATGATCGACAGAAAACAGATTTTGCATCTAGAATTAAAAATAATTTTTCTTAATTTATTTTGTTGAGCGCAAAAGTAAATTGAAATACGAACAATCAAACCCATACAAAAACGTACAATTCCATATATATTAATATCAAATGTTGCTTTCAGTTTTGCAACTATGTTCCATATTGTAGTAATTAACATCAAACTAAAATGTTGCCAGTCTGATAACATTTACCTATTTACATTGTCCGGACTGTTGTCCTTATTGTTATTGTCATCTTCATGACTTTTCGACCGTTGTACGTTCCGACATTCTTCAGGTGATATCGGTTGAAATTTGAAACCGAACGATTTTGATGTTCTAATTTCACGTATGATGCCCTTTCTGCGTGTCCCGCTTTCAGCTATTTTTAGTAACTTAACTCTCCAAGTTTCTGTTCATCTCTGCTGTGACTTGGTATTGAACTCACAACTCTTTGGAGTAAGTCACAGGATTACTTCAATAAACGCATTTATCCACTGGGCCATGTGTACTTGGGAAACAATGTAAATAGTTACAGCAATCCATCTTAGAAATATAGAGAAAAAAATTACCTGGTTGATTAAAATGGTTGAATAGGTAATTGCGAGTTCAATCCCTGGTTTGCGTTGTACCGTTGATATGTTTCTAAATATGAACAGCGGAACGAGAAAAAATATATCCCTGTAGATTAAATAAAGTTTTCATTTGTGAATTCTCTGAAGGATGCAAGGATCGAAAAATATCTGAAGAAGCTTGCTGGGCACAGCGGCTGAAATGTTGTGATAAAAACAATGATGGGATATTATTTGAAATGTACTTGGATGGCGAAAAAGGCCTACTTACTTAATAGTAAGTAGAAACTTTACACAATAAAGCTAAATAATATTTTAGCCAACCCAATAAATAATGTTAATCACTTTTCCTAGACATTCAGATATAAATCTTACCATCTTTGGGCATGTTTTCCTCGCTTCTATTTAGTAAAATAGAAACTACAGTGTATTGAAAAATACCTTGAGTACTGTCAAAGAAAATAAAACTTCAGAATCGTACGGAATCTCTGGCAATGTTGGGACAATGGCGACGTAATACAGCGTTAGCGGCGACATATCTCTCGTTAACGGTCTATACTGGATGCATTAGCTATAAAGATCGGTTTGCAAGAAATAATGAGAACAGCGAAATCGTGATTTGTCCTTTTGAAGCAGTCACTTAAATAAACAGAAAGAAAAATGCAAAACAAACAAGAAATAACGTGTCTCGTTAGCTGTAACATTAATATCTGAGTTGCCATGATAATTCCTGATGTCGGTCACTTTCAGCATACCAGTATAATGCATAAAATGCATGAGATGCTCCTTTTTATTCTGCTTCCTTTTTCAGAATTAATTGTGAATTCAGAAGACTAAAAAAAAAAGATGAATTTGTTAATTTTTCACGTTTTTTAAAACTCGAGACACGCTTTGTTACTTTCCTTTACTACCAATTCATGACATGAGAAGCGGACTGCGAGGACAATACTGACAGCCATTACCGGAAATTTTCAAAAGAATATAAAAACAAATTTGGATATTGTACTGAATTTTTTTAAGTTATAAAAAAACTCAAAATCGGGTGACCATAATGTTCCATATGTTCCTAGAACATCCTGAGGCTGTCTAAGAAAATGATAGGAAGACAATCTCATAACAAACCTGGATTGCGTCAAACTCCAGTGCCCCTAAATCGAACACGCTGTTGCTGATCGGTTCAGCAACACGCTGTTGCTGATCGGTTCAGCAACCTCTGCTCCGGGGCAACAAACAATTTCTAAATCAACTGGGCCCGTGCATGGTCTCAAACTTCTGCTCTTACCCGTGCATTCAGATGATATTCTGTTATATTGATATAGAAGATTACTATGCTGCGATAACAGTCGTGGAATAGCAGATGCTGGTTGTAAATTCATGATGCGGTTCTATTCCGTTATCGTCGCATAGCAATCTTCTATGTTATTATGAGAGAATATCATCTTTGATGGTGAATATTTTTGTTTAAATGTCCATATAACCACTTTGAAGATGGCTCATGTGAGGCGAAAGCTTAGATTAAGGAACAGTATAATAATTGTCAGAGTTTACCATCTGCCCAGTGGGACGCATAGTCGAATCCTGCCGGGGGGGGGTGTAAATGTTTGTCATATCAAGATTCCTCGAAAATTCAGGCCGTTAGATGAAAATAAATAAATATAATGTTTAATAAATAAACGGAGTCAAATACGCACACCCACTAAAAGTAACATTAAAAGTGATAATTATATATATATATATATATATATATATATATATATATATATATATATATGTGTGTGTGTGTGTGTGTGTGTGTGTGTATGTGTGTGTGTGAGTGTGTGTGTGTGTGTATGCGTATGTGTGTGTGTACAATTTGAATTTTAATTGACTTTCAATTCTTATTAAAATATGCAGTGATTTCTGCATTATATACTATTATCACGGAGAAGGCCCTGATTAGAAACAAACAGGGAGAAATAAAAGAATACATGACCTTTAAAATGTCTTTTAAATTGGCTATCACCGACGAATGCAATAAATAATCGCATACAGATAGAAAATCCGGCTCATTGCTTTGGCTTGGTTAATACAGTAAAAACTAACACAACATGATGAAAATAATGATGATAAGAGTAATAATAATAATAATAATAATAATAATAATAATAATAATAGCATTACTAAAACCAAAATATAGAAGAAAACACTGCTTGTTAAGTCAGCGTTTAAGGGTAAATAAGGCAAAACAAAACGACATAGACAAAGAAAAATATTGTTCTTTAAAATTCAGCATCAAACTCTTTAATATATTTTCATTAAATATTATAAAAACCTCTTTGCGAATAAAGTATATTTAATTGACCATATGATATTTTCAAACATCAAATTCATCTCCACTTTCATTTCATTTCAGACAAATTCGCTCTCTCCCTCTTTCTTACGTTTCCATGCTCTCTTTATTACTTCTCTTGCTCTCTTTATTACTTCTCTTGCTCTCTTTCTTTACTTCTCTTGCTCTCTTTCTCTACTTCTCTTGCTCTCTTTCTCTACTTCTCTTGCTCTCTTTCTTTACTTCTCTTGCTCTCTTTCTCTACTTCTCTTGCTCTCTTTCTCTACTTCTCTTGCTCTCTTTCTTTACTTCTCTTGCTCTCTTTCTTTACTTCTCTTGCTCTCTTTCTTTACTTCTCTTGCTCTCTTTCTCTATATTGCCTCTTGCTCTCTTTCTCTCTATTCTTTTAATTTTTTTCTTTGTCTTTCCTTTGCTATTCTTCCCCATTTGTGGATTGTTTTTTTTCACTTTCTCTCTCTCCCTTCTCTATGTCTCAAAGCAGACGATTGACTGTGTTCATATACTACTCCCAGTATAAAACGAAAAAGATCTCGTTTTCTATTCAGTCAAATGTAGAAAACAGTTTTATTTTTAATGTTCTTAAACGATTACTTCCAACCCTCTACTAATCATATTGGGCGAAATTTTGACTGCCTTTCAACACAACAAGCGAAAATACGAAATGAATTGTCTTCTCCTGAAATATAGTTCCGTTGTAGAACGTCCATTTTTTATTTATTTATTGCATCTCTCCACTGGCGAGCATCCTGACTGCAGAGGAGCAAGTGGTCACTTGATGATGTTTGAATTGGATGAAGGATCGATCCTGCAGAGAAAATTATACTCTTTTTATCCTACACGATCTGTCACCTCCATTTGTGGATTGTCCAGTTTCTGACAGCTGACCGCTCTTTGGCCGGAACTTCCCGTCTCCTACGAACCAATCAATCAATCAAGATTATTTCTAATGTACAAAGGCGTTAGATTGTTGAACGCAGCAGAAAGCAGACGATTGAATCAAATTGTCCACATCACTTTTGATGAAAATACACGACTGCAAAGAGATTGGTCCTTCCAAGAGAAAAGTAAGGAGGTGTTGAAATACACAAAGGTCAGTTGGTAAAAAGAGGGAAAGCCATATATAAAATTTCGAACAACCTAATATTCACGATCACCAATAACCATTGACCTCTTACATATCTATTTGTATACCCTATGTCTTATCGGCAACGCATATATATATATATATATATATATATATATATATATATATATATATATATGTTTATGCGGTCATGATGTGTACAGGATGAAGGATGATAGTTGTTTGGCCAAAGGAGAAATAGCAGCACACAAACAAAAAAATATGTATAAGATTGCATCAAAAATACACATGCTTGCGTAAACCTAATCATCTTCATCATCTCGGGGGAAAACAATGGCAACAGAGACTTTGAATAAACCTATGTTGAGTATGACAAACCCCAGGAAGCTGTTCGTAAGTGCGGTGGTGCTAATTTCCCTGAAGTTCTTCGCACAGATTACAGTGTATACACAGAATTTGGCATAATGTGTAATAAGTGCAATGGCGTCTAACTAGAGTAAGCCTAAAAAGCATCAAAGACGTTACAGTTCACCAAAAAATGGATGTTAACAACTGCTGCAAGCTAGAATGTAAGGACTAGTAAGCTACAGCTCGGGTACGATAGTAATACTCCATATTTTTCTGTTCTGGCTCATGTAAATATAAAGCGTGGATAGTTCTGCTTAAGGGATGGATTGACGTTCGAAGCAAGGGACAGTGCAACTGCTCATCATCATCAGAGAACATTCAGGGTAATGATGAAACGTAACTAACTTGGTTTTGGATGTACTGAAAGTTACGAGCTAGTTTTTCCCCATAAACGTAGACCCGAGAAGAGATCTACTGTTAAGACCCGGATCCTTGGAGCTGCGCCCATAAACAGCATAGATTTTTACTAATGGTAAGGCAGATGTTATTAACAACGACCTTCATAGACGTACATGAGAAGAAAAGACTAACGGTAATCATGTATAATATTATATAGCTAACTCAATTCGAAAAACGAAACCTTACGCAAATACGACTCGCAACGTTGAAGATAAAAACACTCAATGTGTCTCTCACCCCAAACAGCTAAAACGGCATACAGACAAAATAATATAGAGAAGCGTGTATTCATTGTTTCGAATATATTTTCTAATGCTTAAATAAACTCTTCAAAAATTCCTAATATCATTATGGACCTAAGTAAACCAAATAACCTCAATTTAATCTGACACTATGATCACCCATCAGTCTGTACACCAAATTCTGTAAATGTGAATCTATGTATAGACATTTTATTAAATCCAGAAGCAATAAGATTTTGCGGTATATTGCATGTCGCTACGGCTCAGGTGCTTTTTGTTATCAAACAAGCCAAATATATTTCGTAGATCATGTTTCATTGCAATATGGTCATCCATGACTTGCAATCAGGGTAAAAGAAACGGTGTAAATGTACCTAGCCGAGAGTTTATAGTTAAATGCAGCTTTATGAACAAGAAATGGCATATTTGCAGGCGTGAGAATGTGACATTTGAAAGCCACTGATTGCATGCCTGCAGTTATTTGCACGATTAGGAAAGCCAAAGTACATTAACGCACATACCAGATTTTATTTTGGAAAAGATTTCTTGCTTGGCCTGTATCTATTTGTTAATATCTGTATGTATTTGTACATTTTTGTTCCACACATACACACACACATATATATATATATATATATATATATATATATATATATATATATATATATATATATATATATACAGGTGTCCATAAAGTTCATGCGCACTTTAAAGAATTTATAACATTATTTGTATTTGCAATAGAAATAATTTGTAAAAAGAATTAGAAAAATGTAAATCTATATTTTTTAGGGTTTTATTGAAATTTTATTCAAGTTTCCACATGTCCTCCATCATTAGCAATACAAAGGTTAATGCGATTTTGCAGTTCATGGAAAACATTTACAGTAATGCCTGAAATTACATGAGTTATTTTAGTTTCAAATGAATTTAGGTCAATTTATAAATTTATAAATTGACCTAAATTCATCCAAGTAAATAAATAAACTAACCATCTCGATAAAGTCACCGTTAGAAAAAACAAATAAAGATAATCAACCCAAATAAACACAAATTAAAAACTGTTTCTGCCAAAATAATAGTTAGAATAAACTACAACAACCAACCCCAAAACGGAACAAATAGCTTTAATTAAATTCTCAAACCAAAACAAAACTATTACATAAGTGATATAAACAAATTTTTACTACGTTAATAAAAAACACCGATTAAAAAAATAAGTAAATAAAATAAGAAACTAAAAATAAAATTAAATAAAAACAAACAAAATAATTTAACCCAAATAAATAAATAAACTACTTCCGGTAAAATAACCGCCATAATAGACTACCCACAATGCACCACTGACCCGTATATGTATAAATAGCCGAGAAAAATAACAGCACACGTGGCCTGACGATTGCATATAGAATGAAACGGACTGTCGCCTCTAAGTGTTGACTTCTATGTTCACTTTTATTTATATATATATATATATATATATATATATATATATATATATATATATAGTAATTCATCGATTCTAGAAAAACCTCAACAGAATGCACTGGACAGCAGTTTCGTCCTATGCTTGGGACTCATCAACAGTGCGCATGCACTACCGAGAATTGAAACCCTCACTGATACGAGGCAAACGTCATACCAACCTAATAATTAATGTCATTTGCATATCCTTGCTTGAACTGGTTTCTAATGTCTCAGTTGTAGCGGCTTGGAGATAGTAGTCGTGGCTCGTCGGGGCACAGTCTTATATGTAAGGGAAACTCGGATGAGTTCCACCACGGAATATGTGATCGAACAGCGCTATATCGAGTCTCATTCGTTACCTTTTCGTCACCTAGGTCTGTTGGTCTGACGCTTGCCTCGTATCGTAGCGGTCTGTGTTTCAATTCTCGGTAGTGGATGCGCATTGCAAAATATGGGATGAAACTGCCGTCTAGTGTTTTCTAAGGGTTCTACTAGAATCGATGAATTACTTAACTATGATTACTTTTATATATATATATATATATATATATATATATATATATATATATATATATATATATATAAGATAGCATTGTATTGTCGACCATGACGGGAATTAAAAGTGGCGACGTATAATTTTGTTAAATACTTTATTCAAAGATGAACTGTTACTGAAAATTTGCGGTATGACTAGTATGAAGTGGAAAAAAAACTTTCATTATCTGAAATGGGAAATGTACAAATTATAGTCAATAATGAGAGTACAATTTAGCCCCATTGATTTTGGTGCTCTCGGTAATATAAGTACGAACTTCTAAAGTAGCTGAATAACAGTGTGGCCAGTGTCATGTTTGGACATTTACAGAAGACTTCACTCTATAAAACTGTTCCTATAATCAATGTAATCAAATCATGATAAATACGCACGACCTCAGTTCTCTTGTTCCAAGTAGCTGGTACTTTAGTTTCCTCTCAAAATTGTTTTGTTTTTTATACATCAAACAAAACCAAAAATGATGACAGTCAATAAACTAAGGCGCAAACTGCTGTAGAGGAGAGTAGCCATATATGACATGGACAGGCTTGTTAAACTATCGAAACCAGTCCCCGAAAATATTCTGTTGGCTAAAGAGTCTTTTACTCGATGATAACATACAAAACACGTTATGACATGTCCAGTTGAAAACGTTCCCTACAGCAGGTTTGAATACAAGAACAAATATCCAAACCTATATAAATTCTGCTGCAATATATTGAGGATTTATAATTTGGATATATGCTTGTTTCTGAATGTTAACGGAAGAAAACATCCCTGCCACATACTCACATGCAACAATGGACAATTCTTTTCTTTGTGCTTGCAGAATTCTCTGTGTGATGGAGACTTCGACATCTGCTCCTTTTCATTTTCGATTAAACCTATTATTATCTTATAAATATTCATACACATGCGTGGAATCAAATACATACATAAATTTACACACAGAGACACACACACAAACAAGTGTCCAGGCCCGTAGATTGTATTTAAGCAGTTGGTGGGTGTATACAAAATTGCTTTCATCTTGGGATCTCAGTAGAAAAGAAACCAGATTTCATCAGTACTGTCACGTACCCGACCGGAATTAACATGATAGATCGGACTACGGCATCTTTAAGGAAATACTACTTACTCACACACATACATACACACACACACGCGCACCCATATATATGCATACATGATTTGATCATCACATAAAACTGCTTATCATTTAGCAGTGTTGATTTTACGTTGACGCAGTCTATGATTATAAACGCTCTGATACTGAGTATTCTCCCTCCACACACACACACACACACACACATATATATATATATATATATATATATATATATATATATATAAC